AAGGCCTGGCGCAGTATGGTTCATGGGGTCACGGAGAGTCGGACACGACTTAACGACTAAACAACAACAACAATAGTAATATAGTAATAATAATCCAGACATGTAGAATAAAAATATGGATATGTAGTTCTACTTTTATATGTGTGTATGTGAGTAGAACAGATCCACTAAGGGTTGTAACAATTTACATTATTTGGTAATTTAAACCATCTGGATTAGCTTCTACAAACTATGCATAGGTATGAAGTCTCTTACATTTATATACATGTGTATAACTTATGTATAACTTTGAACTAACTCTGGTTTCATATTTGAAAGAAAACCAACCACAAAATGTGTAAGACTGCTGGCAGATAAGCCCTGTTCTTTTGACATGGAGCAGGAAATTTGAAAAGTAAGCAGTATTACCTAGGGTTTTCTTTTACTATACTTTTCAGGTAAAATCCTTATGTAGGCATGATTTGCATATTTTAAAAAAACAAAGTTAAAATAACCCTTTTTTTATACCGAAAAGATTGGCTATTACTAATGTACAAGTACTCTTGTAATATACAGTTAAGAATATGCTTCGTTAAATTATTTATCTTTAAATCTGTACCTTCACTTACCAAGTTGCCTCAGTTTCTAATAGTTCAGGCTGCTTACTTCAGGACTCTGTTTCTTGTATTCCAGACAGTATCAAAGCCTGTCCAGATGTTTATTGACAATTCCATGCAATAAATTTGTGTGCCACTAGGACAAGCCTGAACTTGCCTGATCTGTTATTTTTTTCATGCAGGAATAGCATGTCCTGGGTTAATTGACAGTGCAATATTCTTAAAAGAAGAGAGCCAAGTAGTCATTGTTAGCAGCTTGGAATTCAGCTTTCAGCTTATATCAGGAAAACTGAATTGATTTTGGACTACAATCCCCACTTACCTAGGAAGAGGTTCTACAATCATATGAGGGATTGCACTAAATGCCCTTCTGGCTATGCTACTAGTAAAATATATGTTAATTTTTAGACTAAGAGTAACGGTTAAAGATTAGTTGTTGATCTGTATTTTAGAGCTGTTCCACATGGCCCACTTACTGTGACTCAATGATGTATCGCTAGCTATTTTTAGAGATATGTCCTCAACATGTAGCCTTAGTCTTCAGTTTTAAAGTAGTGTTTTCTGACACAGGTCTTGGCATACAAATGATCTATGGCACTTCATTTATGATTTTCATGATGGCACTGTCAGGGGATGACATCTGTCAAGTTTCTATTAATGGACTGAGGCTACTGAAGGCACATCCCCTGTACTCTGATCACTAGACACTGCTGTCTATAAACATTTTTGCTGAGGCTGCAGAAGAAATCAGATGTCTAGTTTCCACACAGGTATCTGTGCACGTAATGCCTTACTCACACTTTGCAAAGTGACCTTCAAGCATTACATGGGATCCTTATATACACTGGTACACTGGTCTACTCTATGCACAGTAGTCTTTCAAAAGGCCAGTAAGTACAGTATTTCTGTAAAAAACAAAAAGGGGCAGGGCTGCCAGTCAATTTAAACTGGGACAGAGATGCATCGCTGAAGTGAATACATTAAATGTTTTCTGCAGCACTTACTGATTTGGGGTATTTAGTATCTGCACTGGAATTGATAAAAGTTCTGCCAGTTTTCCTGTTCTAGCCCAGTACTGGTACATCTGACTACCAGTCTAACAGCCTTCTGGAACACTGGTAAAACCCTGTCCAAAAATATCCTAGCTGACAGATTAATGTAGTGAAGATGGGCTAGGATGAAGTGGAAGGGAGCTGTCTCAAGATGCCATATGAGCTCCCTCCCACTTTACCTTGCAGCCCTCTTCCACCCTACCTACCTGTCAAGCCTCTAAGAGCATGACCAAGGAAGTTAGATTTGCACAGAGCCTCATTAACCAGTATGTATCAGATTTAACGGAAGGAAAAAAAGATTGTGTTACAAAATCTTGGAAACTAGATAAATATATTCTAGGTTCCATTTATTAGTGAGTAGATTAAGGTGGGTTTCTATATAATTGGGTTGTCATTTTCGCCAACTCCTTAACAGACAAAATAAGGTGTTGCTTAAGATATAAGACTGGAATGTCCATTTGATTCTCATCTGCCATGCTTTGGAAACATCCTGTTTTCTTTTTGTAGATAGAAAATTCCATTATGCTATCTGTCAGACTAGTCTTCTAGAAGACTGGTAAGATAGTGTTCGCAAATATCCTGATTTAGAGGTTACAGGCATAGATCATCTCCATATTGGTGATTTGTCACTCAATCAACTTGAAGGGTGATTAAAACTTTTGTCCTTGGGACCAGCCCATGCTTGTCCAAGCCTGCAGTGCCACACTTTAAGCAGAACACTTTTCAATGTTTTTTTTTTTTCCTGTTGATTGCTGATATTTGGTAGGAGGGGAAATAAAAGCCAGGGCAGTCTGCCATTTGCTCTTAAATTGTCCCACAGTAAAGCTCTAAAGATAAACCCCATTACTTAGGCAGAATAGAGCTTGGCCATGAATGGTAGCATAAATTATGCTGGCATATTTTTATACCATCCCAAGGACTACAGTAATGTATATTTATATATACCATAAATCCCAAACTCATATTTATATATACCATAAAAACCATCATGCTAGATTACAAAGGCTTGTGCAGTCCAGCATTCTGTTCCCACCATCTAGAACTAGGCTTCTAGTGACCAATTAGAAGCCTTCAAGAAGCTAATAAGCAGACCTTGAGTGCAATAGCAACCTTCTCTTCATATTCCACATTAAGCATTGTTGAAAGGCTTACCACTTCTGATACTGGAGGTAATATATTTCTTAACTAGTAATATTCTTAACCTTCATTTATGACCATGTGAGAAGGCAGGGAGAAGTGAGGGCCTCAAACGAACCATGTTTGCTAGGGGAGAG